CCCCAAAACCCCAAAACCCCAAAACCCCAAAACCCCAGATCCAGAAATCCTGATTGAAATCCGGTTTTAACAGCAACAATGTTTTAAGATTTGTCAGGAATCAATAGAGGTTTTTCATCATCTGAACCTACAGTTCTGTTGATGCTGGATACGCTTTCTCTCTTCAGTTCTTTGGTTGCAGCCTTCTTAGATGGAGGCTTAGGCATTAAGAAGTGCTTCTCAAGGTTCATGAAAGGGACTTCTGCATACATGCTGAATGGGATCGCGAACAAGAATGAGATAGGAGCTACGCCGAGTACAAGCCACCAAGCGTTGAGGTTAGACATCCACAAGCCTTGTCTTAGATCAGCAAGGAACATTGTGATCCATGGAATGTGCATCAAGTAAACACCAAATGTGATCCTTCCAAGTACTATCATTGTGTTGTTTCCAAGCAAGTGCTTGATCCATGGCAACCTCCCTTGGAAAGTAGGAATGATGATTAAGATAACTCCAAGAACAAAGAATGATCTAGCAAAAGCATTGTAAAGCATGTTTGAAGTTTTTGACCAAGGATTAGAGTTCAATTTCTCTTTGTAGAAACTTATTTGAATGAACACAAAAATGTAATGAAAAACAAGCCTGTAAAGAAATATAGATAAGTCACCGATGTCGAGTACTTTGGGGCCATCATGATCTTTGTTGAAAGGGAAGGTCTGATTTCTTCTAAGCTCTCATCAGCCATCTTTTTCTTATCTTGCTTGTACTCATAATACATGAACCCAAAAATAGCTCCAACTCCATAAGCTGCGAATCTACTCCATGGCTTTAAGTAAACTAGGTTAAAGAAATCACCTCCTCCAAATATAAGAAAGATAATGCCAAGATCATTTTGAGCAGTAAGGACCATATTTACAATATAATTCACAAGCATCAAGAGGGCAACCAGAGCATATCCAACTATTTTATTCCGACAATAGAAAAAGATAATAATTGGAGAGATCAGGAAAAACTCAAAGTCATTGGCCAAGTACCAGAACCAGGACATGCACACATTCGCAGAGCTCCAAGGAATCAGATTACTAATAAAAATCAGGCTAGACCACCAAAACTTCTTGCAATTCATATCCCATGACTGTTGGAAGAAAGGGCCAGATCCAAGATGCTTAAAAATAAAATTACTCAATAGGATACAGAAGAGAGCAGGAGTGAAAAGTCTAAACCATCTGTGGAAGTAGACCATTGGGAAGTTAGTACATCCCTTTTTGGGATACATTCTAACAGTCAAGAGGTAAAAGGTCAGGAATCCAGACATCATAAAGAACACATCAACTGCAAAGAATCCTCCTGGGACTATGACAAAGTACCACGTTGTCATCATATTTTGCATAGATAAAATGTTTGACATTGGGGCTCCAGATCCTATCATGAATACATGGCCTGCAATAACCCAGCAAATACTGAACACTCTAATTCCGTTTAGAATCGCCAGGTCATCGTCTCCTTTGTTCTTTACCTCAAATAGTTTTTGAAGGTTATTTTTGAATGAGAAAGAATGCAAAGTAAGCCCAAGTTTATTTAGTTTCTGTTCTGGCTTCTCACTCGGAATAGAATCAGGTTTAATAAATATCGGAATATACTCAGTAAAACTTCCTGCTATTCCAAGAAGAGTTATCAATCCCAAAACTGTGAGTGTAATGATACCTCCAGCTCCCCAGGATGCAGATGCCTGCTGGTAAGGCACCATGAGCTTAATATCTATTTTAACGTCTTCAGGGACTCCAAGTTCTCTTGCTTTTCTCATCAAAAACTCTTTAAACCCTGAAAATTCTTCAGGAGCTGCACAAGCTGTTGGGACACACAGCCCAAGGTTGATGTTAACCCCTGCATTAATTTTGAGGAAAACCCATTCAGATTGATCCATTTTATGGCACAGCTCAGGGTTTCCGAGCTGATTGATAGATTTACCTGAAAGAGCGTAGTAAAGTTTTAAATAATTCACTCCTCCAGGAGAGAGTGAGGTTCTGAGACTCTCAAGACACATATGGCTTGTCTCATTACTAGTGTCTGGTATCTCTTGAAATGACTTATAAGCATTAAAGCCTATATGGAGTTATAACATTTTCTTTCTATTCAAGTTCGCTTACCTGTTAAAGTCTCTGAAATTTCAGCTAATCTTTCATGATGATATCCATTTACTAGAGAATGCTCATTATCTATAGATCAAACGATGAGAAGAATTTAGAATAAAGCAAATGAATTTAAGAAAAATACAAATCTTGAGTATCTAAATTGAAATAGCACATAAAAATTTTGTGGCAAAATTACATAATGATGGTTTATTTTCATAAATTTATTGACTTCTCACCTTTGAAAGTAGCTTCAGTAAATCTACATATCCCTTGTCTCATTAAAATTACGACTATAACACAAGTCAATAATATTTTCATTTTAAAATTATAACTCAGTCTCTACTCATCCAGCTGGGGTTTTGGGGTTTTGGGGTTTTGGGGTTTTGGGGTTTTGGGG